ATATCACTTCAATAGTTACCTCTGGGTTTACTGTTACTAGTTACCACTGGGTTCTGAAAGTGTCAAAAAGTTGGCAGGTATCAGGTATGTATTAGATCTATCAGAAAGTTCTGTCTGCGAATGTACACGCCTCCTTTTACAGTAACGGTTTTTTTTACTTTCTTTTTTTTATTTTATATATNACGACGTTATATATATATATATATATATATATATATATAAAAACGAAAGTGTTAGGGTATTTTCTCTCCAATTCAATGTTAATGTTCTCTAACTTAAAGACACATCACATGTGGAGCAAAAGAGCATGCGCACACATATTCAAACTTTCAGAACTAAGCGGCACATCTGATTTATACATTTAAGGGTAAATGCCCGTACCACCACTCTGCAAATTTTTTTTTCAAATTAAAGCATCTTTTGCATTGTTGTATAATGGGTCGCGTATTCTTTCGCTGATTTCAAATTTTCCTGTAAACCCAATAGTAACTTAGAAAAAGTCTTACAATTATTGACAACCTTTACGTTATATATGTTTTATAACAATAGCCTTGTAATTTTGAACCCAATCTAGAAAACAAGGGAACTACTGGATCAACTATCAGAAGAAATTTGCCTTCGTGGAGGACTTTTTGATGGAACTAACTCGCATTTGCGTTACATGGAGGAGAGAATCTCCAACGGTTAGCCTGATAGCAAGGGGACTCTAACCTATGGTCCGTCTACCACTAAGGATATTTTACGTCAGGACTGTGATCGGTTCGAGCCGGGAGAGGAATTCATAACGTCCAGCCGCCGCTGGGATTTGAACCCGGTTCACCTCATTGAAAGGTGAACGCCATATCAACTGAGCCACCACATGTCTACTCTATGCTATGCGCTCATATCATTTTCCATGGGTTAATAAAGAAAAAGTAGAATTTCTCCTCTGACTGAAAAGTATCCTTATTATCCGCTTGTGAGATATCAATAAAACTTTGCAGTGTGAAATTTAACTCTTTCAGTATCCTTTCCTTCGGTTTCCTTTATCAGGAATTTAGAGCACGACTATTTCTCTATCTGACTTTTAATATATTTGTAAGTAGTGGCAGTAAAAAGTACTTTTAATTCCAGTTCATTAAAATATTAATACACTAGTTTTATACATATACACTAAGGTGAACAGTCGTGCTCAAATCTTGAAGACAATTCTGAATTTTCAATAGTTCTCAAAAATTTTGAACCTCTTTGAGAACAGAAAATGTTTTCAAATCTTAATATCCTCGAATGTCAAACAAGCGAGAAATGCACACGTTTTTTTAAACAAGATAATTTTGTCTTTCGGAGAATACAAGCGAAAAGCAAAAATGTACTAACCTTAATTTAATTTAAGGAAACTCCATACTCGTCTGAAAATAATTTCAGCAAAAAAATAAACTAATAATCATATATTCTCTTTCATTTTGCATTTGTTAAGGTTGTATTACATACGAGGTCNTGGACTTTAAAAAAACATCAGTGTAGGGTATACCGGGCAATGGCACTTGACCTTAAAAAAAACATCAGTGTAGGGTATACCGGGCAGGGGCACTTAACTAGACCTAGTATATACGAGGTCTGTCTAAAAAGAATCCGACCTTAATTTTTCCCGCTCAAAGTAGTGATTCTAAGGCAGCGCCACTGTCCCCGATGGAAGGAGGAACCTTAATGCACAGGCTTGAATTTTTTCACCGCGTTAGCTTGAGCAAGTAGCTGGCTGGTGGTCGCCAAGTAAGGTGCTGTTCGTAGTGTTCGTCGGATTCAGTTTNTTATTTGGCATCATTGGAGAGGGTTTTCGCAAAAAAGTAACTTTTACTTTTTTTATATCTCTTACTGTTCTCAAGATAATAAATACGAAAAATTCTGATTAATTACTTCAATTTATCATTTTTACCAATAATAATTAACTTAAACTATCAAAATCGCTTCAATTTTTATAAAACAAGGGAAGAAAAGCACAAATGTGCTTTAATGAAGATATAAGACATTACGACGAAAAAAACCTTTTTAGTAAATATGTCAAAATCTATTTAATATGTATTTTTTCTTATCTATTATCTCGAAAATAAAGAGATATTAAAAAATATTTTAAGTAAAAGTTATTTCTTTTCAAAAACTCTCTCTAATGATACCAAATAAGAAATAGGTTTTTATTTAAAAAATCAAAGTTGTATTCAAATTACGGTACTTCCGGCTACTTGAGGGAATTAACAATATCACTATTGAATTCCTTGGGGTTGATTTAGTTATTAGATTTTTTATTTCAAATCGATTATTCGCTCCATTCTCGAAAAAAATGGTGGCACGCATGATCTGAATCACCCGGTATTTTATAACTTAATTTATGTCTTAAATTTAGTTTTAGGAGGTACCATGAAAGCACTAATTGAAAGTGCATCGTTTTTCAGCCTACTAAATAGCGTCGCAGTATTTTTCCGTGAATCATACCAACGCATGAACATCTGGGAACAAAGTAACGAGCACAGAAATAAAAAAAGGCTCACAACTATTGGAGAAACACGTTGGTGGTTCAAAGATTCTGCATTAAAGAAAATTTTTGGTTCATTTTCAAACTCAGATTCAACTATAAAGCCGTTATATGTCACATTGATTACAAGTTTAGAAACTATACAACGAAATTCAAATTTCAAGTCAGATATCCGCAAGATATTTTACAAACATGAAACAGTAATCACCGCCAAAATATTCTCATGAATATTTGAATTAACTACACCGCTCTCCCAATATTTGCAAACCTCCTGTTTCGACATCTTAAAAAGCTTTTGGAATGGTATCACAAACGTGTTCAGAACTAAAAACAATAGTAAGAGATTTTGAAGGTGTACAAAAAGTTACAGTTGATTTTATTATTCGCGCAAATAAGGAATTTGAAGAAACTGAAATAGAAATTCAAAGTTCAAACAAAGTTTCCACCAAAAAGATTGAAGAAAAGAAACTTGATGCCGGGTTAGACAGCGTCGAGTGAAACAGTTTTTGATGATGAAACCACTGCATTTAAGATAAACGTCCATAACATTATTTTCAGCACAGTTGTAGCGTCAATGGAACGCCAGTATCTCGCAAATGGAGAATTGTGTGCCGATTTTTCCTATCTAGATCCGAAACGTTTCCCGGAAATATGTCTTAACAAGCTTCAATCTGGCGAACTAAATAAGTTAAGCAAACTCTTGCTAAAATTTGACGAAACAGCTATGGGTAAAAATTTGCGGATTGAACTAAGAAATTTAGCTTTACATAGGGAAAAACTAATTCAGACATAGAAGATTATAAAATAATCACAGAAGATCAGAGCCGGATTATACCTTTCGTAGGCCCTAGGCATAGCCGTTTTTGGGGCCTCCCCTCCTTCCCCCACTCCTACCCTTTTTTCAAAATATATGCTAAAATTTTCTTGCATATTTTTTTAACATTTTTATTAATATGGATTTTAATTTACAAATTTGTTTATCGAACTTTATCCAAAAATCGCAAAAAAGTAATATATTAGATCATAAGATTCTGCAAAATAATTTATTACCGAAATATATTATATTTTTATTTGTATCTTCATAATTTTGTGCAAAATACACTTGTTGTTTTTAAAGCTAAATTATTTTTGTCAACAAATTTTTTTCTCCCAAGTTTTTCGTAGGCCCCTGAATTTCGTAGGCCCTAGGCACGTGCCTAG